TGTGTGTGTGTGTGTGTGTGTGTGTGTGTGTGTGTGTGTGTGCTCTCAACACACCTGTGTTGAGACCATCTGTAACTCAGACTGGCTTTGAACTCCCTATGTAGCCAAAGATTGCCCCTACTTTGAAGTGCTGGGATTCTAAGCATTTACCCACCATACCTTGTTTTATGTACTGCTGGGCATCAAATCCAGGATTTGGTGCACACTAGGCAAGAATTCTACAAAGTAAGTTACATCCCAACCCCTCTTTTTTATTTTTAGTAACTCAAAATTAGCATATAAAACAATGGGTTACATTGTGGGGGGTTTTTTGTTTGTTTGGTTGGTTTTTGTTTTTGTTTTTGGAGACAGGGTTTCTTTGTATAACAGCTCTGGCTGTCCTGGAACTCACTCTGTAGACTAGGCTGGCCTGGAACTCACAGAGATCTTTATGCTTCTGCCTCCTGAGTGCTGGGATGACAGGCCATGAGCACCACAGCTGGCCCCTTTTGACCTTGCCTAGCATTTGAAATAATCCCAGGGCTACACTAGCCCCCCCCCCCAAAAAAAAAAAAACCAAACAACAACAAAAAATACATTTGTTCTCAGCATGTCTGTCTTTACTGAGGCCACCATGATCTGAGCCTCTTGCTTTGAGGAAGTTACAGCCCCCCAGTACCTCTCTCTGCTTCTGATTCATTCTCTATTTAGCCAGATGGTACTTCTTCAAAACAAAGTCCTTCTGGTAGTCTAGGGCCCACTCACCAGGCTTGCCAAACCCTCTGGCCCTCCAGGATCTGTCCTCTCCTCACACTGATCAAGTCAGGCTGGCTGCCTTCCCATTCTCCAGTACCCCAGGCCTGGTCTTGTTGTACGACATTTAGGAGGTCATTCCTTGAAACCCATTGGAGATTGGCTCCAGCGCCCCTCCATGTTGATTCCAAGCCCTGTAGATGCAGATGCTCACATCCCTGGGCACATCCTCTCACGTACTTTAAATATATCTAGTTCACATCCAACGATATGTAAACGATTGCCGGACTATTGTTTAGAGAATGAGTGAAAAGAAAAAGTCTTTAACTGTTCGCTAGAGGTCACGATTCTTTTTTCTTTTTTTTTTTTTTTTTTTGGTTTTTCGAGACAGGGTTTCTCCGTGTAGCTTTGGAGCCTTTCCTGGAACTCACTTTGTAAACCAGGCTGGCCTTGAACTCACAGAGATCTGCCTGCCTCTGCCTCCCCAGCGCTGGGATTAAAGGCGTGAGCCACCACCGCCCTCGAGGTCACAATTCTTTTTCTGAGATATATTCAAACTGTAGTCTGTTAAATCAGTATATTTGTTCCTCTACCCAGAACACTTTGCCTCCTTAACATTTGGATCTCAGGTCAAATGCTTCCTCAAGAGGGCTCTTCATGACCACTCAGTCTTTCTCGTCTCCTGACCCTCAAGCACTCCCATAACCCAACTTATTTGCTTTATACCAAGAGATTCCCTGAAGTCATCTCGTTCTCTTATTTGCTTTGTTTTCTGTCCCATCTAGCTCTAAAGTATAAATTCCATGACAGTGTTGTCCTCTTCCCACCGCCCCTCCCTCACTCCCTCCTTCCCTGGACAGGACCTCATGTAGCCCAGGCTGTCCTTGAACTCCTGATCCTCCTGCCTCTACCTCCCAATTTCAACAGATAATGTCATCATGCCCAGGTTTATATGGCACTGGGGAACCTAGGGCTTAGTGTATGCTGGACAAACACTCTGCTAATGGAGTCATAACCCCAACCACTTACTGTCTTCTTTTTGTTTTGTTTTGATTTTTCCAGACATGGTTCTCTCTCTCTCTCTCTCTCTCTCTCTCTCTTTTTTTTTTTTTTGGTGTGTGTGTGTGTGTGTGTGTGTGTGTGTGGTTTTTTGAGACAGGGTTTCTCTGTGTAGCTTTGCACCTTTCCTGGATCTCGCTCTGTAGACCAGGCTGGCCTCGAACTCACAGAGATCCGCCTGCCTCTGCCTCCAGAGTGCTGGGATTAAAGGTGTGAGCCACCACTGCCCAGCAGAGACATGATTCTCTATGTAGCCCAGACTGTCCTAGAACTCTGTAAATCAGGCTGGCCTTGAATTTAGATATCCGCCTGCCTCTGCCTCCAGCGTGCTGGATTAAAGGTGTGAGCCACCACACCCAGCTTCCCTTACTCATTCTTTAATGTCAAGAATCTGGGACATGACACCCACCTTCTATCCTAGCAACCTAGAAGGCTGGGGGTGGCCAGTGTTTTTAAAGGACCCAATCGGGGTTGGGGATTTAGCTCAGTCGCAAGGTCCTGGGTTCAATCCTCAGCTCCAAAAAAAAAAAAGGACCCAATCACCTGAAATCTGTCTCAGCACATCTATCCACGAAACCTGGAAAGAATCTTGAATATTTAAAACAAATCAAGAATATTGATACTACCAGTAAATAAGTAGGAACAGCTCTGTGGTACAGTGCTCACCTAGAATGTTCAAGGCTCTGGGTTTGATCTCCAGTACTGGAAAAGAAAAGTAAAGCGATTTGCCTGGTGACTCAGTCCAAAGAGCAGATCAAATGTCTCTTTAAAGGACCTTCCCTTACTCTCCCTAACGAAATTAATGTTTCTCTCCCCAGTGCCCTGAATAGCACTTTATTCATAGCTCCATTACATCACCCAGCCCTCCACACTCCCTAGGAAGAATTATCAGCTATCTGTCTCCTCTGCCAGGCCCCGCTGGCGCTGGCGAGAACTTATCAGATCAACAGTGCATTTTCAGCACCTGGCACCTGGTCGCTCCTCCTGACAGGTTCCGGCTGAGTTGCACCCAGTGGGAACCAGGCAGGAATGGCTGGGGTCTGTTCTCCGTGTGCTGATGTGAGGATAACAGTCCTGCTTTCAAGTGTGAACACGTTGAACCTGAAACTTCAGGATGTTCTATAATGAAAGGGGCAGGCTGCATTAGAAAAAAAAAAAAAATTCACAGCACAATGGAAACTTCCTGGAGGGTGAAGGCTGCACACTCTCACACCGCCATCCCACATGGGAAAACTTCCAGCCCTGCCCCTGTCGGGAGGGGGAAGGGCCCTTCACAGGCTGACCGCATGCTCTCCCCCACACACACACCCATCAGTAAAGTCCCGTGGCATTACATCACAGTGGAGGGCCTGGTGCCATCTTCCTGTGTGGACAGACACTGTAACTGTGCTTTGTTTCTTTATGTACAATAAGTGCTTTCAGCTCTGGCCAAGTCACTGTTTTCAGGCATGAATGTAGCTGAAGATGTGCCTTGCAGACTGTTGCTAAGTACCTTGGACCTTTCTGGGCATGAACTTGTTTTAATAAAATAGCTGCTTCCATTCATCCAGAGCACCTCACATACAGAGTGGTGTCTGATTCATTCTTTTGTTTGTTTGTTTATGGTTTTTCAAGACAGAGTTTCTTGGAGTAGCCCTGGCTGTCCTAGAACTTACTTTGTAGACCAGGCTGGCCTCGAACTCAGAGATTCGCCTGCCTCTGCCTCCCGAGTGCTGGGATTAAAAGCAGGCACCACCACCGATAGGCATCTGATCCATTCTTTTTTTTTTTTTTTTTAAGATTTATTTATTATGTATACAGTATTCTGTCTGCATGTACCCCTGCACACCAGGTGAGGGTACCAGATCTCATTACAGGAGGTTGGGAGCCACCATGTGGTTCATGGGAATTGAACTCAGGACCTCTAGAAGAACAGCCAGTGCCCTTAACTGCTGAGCCATCTCTCCAGCCCCTGATCCATTCTTTTTTGTTTTTTGTTTTTTGTTTTTTTTTTTTTTTGAGACAAGACAGGGTTTCTCTGTGTAGCTTTGCGCCTTT